TTTTTTTTTTTTTTTTTTTTTTGTTTTTTGGTAAGTGGCATTTATAATTCTTTTCTCTTAGGTGGTGTTTGGTTGATAGAGTAATTCTTTTCTTAAGGAAATTCGTGATTAATTTGGTATTGATACATTATACACTATATAATAAATAAAAACGAAAAATAAAATTTTAACTCATTTTTAGTTATTTTCCTTATTGATTTTGAAATTTAAACTATTCATCCAAGGTTAAATACCCAGTTTGATCTCTCATATTTCATTTTTTAACCAAGTCTATCTTCAAACTTAAAAAAGTACTAAAACTATCTTTAAACTTCAATTTTCAAGACCAATTTAATCATTCCATCGATGGAAGTGTCAAATGGCACGTTAAGTTGCTACAAAATCAATTCTTATTTTAAATATTTAATTATGTGAAAAATAACTTAACCCACCATGCCATTTTTATTGTCCATGTCATTTTAATTAATCTATATATTAAAAATTTTTAATTCCTTAAATACCCCCATCTTCATCTTCTAGCCCTTTTTTTTCTCCCTTCTTGTCTCTCTCTATCCTCATATGCCTTTTCATCTTGCAACCCACTCAGCACTGATCATCCCTCATTACTCCGGTCATCCCCTACCACTCCAATCACTATCTCCATACATCACTCCGATCATCTCTACCCTTATAAATATGCTTAACCCAGAAACCCAAAAACCAAAAAGAAATGTAAGCCAATTTCTTACCTCTCTCTCCACTTGCTGCCTTTTCATTTCTTCTCCTCTTCAATTTCTGATCTCCACCTTCCTCTCCGTCTACTTTCTTCTTCATTAGTGGTGATTTTAACTCCTAATCAACACATGATCACCAAAAGGAAAATGGAACCCGAATCACCAAACCTCTCTTTCTTCCCCAAACCTCCTCTCTAACGGAACCCAAATTTGGTTCCTCACACAGTAATAATGGCCAATAGATCTTATTCAAGCATCAATTACACTACAAACTTATACCAGATCTATAAAGATTCAAAAAATCAATCATACTGCAAACTTATACTAGATCTGTAAAAGAAAAGGAAAATGCAAAAAACACAACATCTCTTCAATCAACACCAACAGTAACTAGATTTTGAAATTCAAGCAAGCAAAAGCCACACAAAACTCTAAATCCCATACCAAGATAGCCAAGCATAATTGCAGCCAACAAAGTAACAGAAGAAAAGAAGAAGAAGAAAATGAGAACCAGTGAGAAAAAATCATGGGATTTCTTTTAAAAATACCGAGAAAAAGAGGGAAAATACTCGAATCGAGTTTTCTTGGTTGGTTCTCAACAAAAAAGGGAAAAATAAAAAGGATGAGAAGGAGAAGGGAGGGGAGAGAAAAGAAGAAGCAAAACGAAAGAAAAAGCAAGAATGAAGAAGGTTCCAAAGAACCTAGGCGTGCTGGGTTCAAAGGTACCCAGTGCCTGGGTTCCAAAGAACCCACGCCTGGGTTTGAAAAAACCTACGCTTGGGTTCCTTCAAACCCAGTAGGCAGGG